TCTGACATAAAAAATTACAGACCAATATCTCTTCTTGCTTCTTTCTCTAAAGTATTTGAAAAGCTAATGCATAACCGAGTTATAAGTTTTTTAGATAAATACAGCATACTATGTGAAAACCAATACGGTTTTCGCCCGGGTAGGTCTTGTGAACATGCTCTTCTCAACGCAAAAGACACCATTCTTAATTCAATGTCTAAAAAGCAGGTAACTTTACTTCTTTTAATCGATTTCAGCAAAGCTTTCGACCTTGTGGATCATTCCATACTCTTGCGCAAGCTGGACCATTACGGCATAAGGGGTCAAGCCTTAAACTGGTTTAAGTCATATCTCACTAACAGGAAACAGTTTGTATCAATTGGCTCGTCAAAATCTTCAACCAACCAAATTTTATACGGCGTGCCTCAAGGGTCAATATTAGGACCTTTACTTTTTATAATCTACATAAACGACCTGCCTCAAATATCAGATATAGCCAATTTCATTATGTACGCAGATAATGCCAACATCTTCCTGATAGGAGAAAATCTTAATGAAGTTTACGATAAACTAATAACTCTTAGCGATGCTTTAGTTAAATGGGTAGATAACAATGGTTTAGCTCTCAACCTTAAGAAAACAAATTATATGATCTTCTCTCGACAAAGAAATCTTAATTATCGTGATGTGGCAATTTCTGGTGTCACAATTGAGAGAAAAACAGAAGCCCGTTTTTTAGGAGTTATAATAGATGATAAACTAAACTGGTCCCATCATATTTCTGCCATGAAAATGAAAATGTCCAGATACATAGGAGTCATGTACAAACTTAAAAAATATCTGCCTCTCGAAGCACGTCTTCAAATTTATCAAAGTTTTGTGCAGTCACACCTTAATTATTGCAGCCTTGTATGGGGTTTTGCTGCCAAGTCTCATATTGAATCGCTTTTTGTAAAACAGAAAATGGGCCTTCGAGCAGTATTACCTGGTTTCGTCAATTACTGGTACAAGGACGGTATCCCCCCAGCAAGTACCAAGTCTGGCTTTTATTCACATAAAATATTGACAGTACACAGTATCATTGTAAAGAACGCACTCATTTTAATGCATAAATTGAAAAACTTTCCTCATCTAGTACCATTGTCTCTCAAGAAAACAATTCCCAAAAGCGCACCATTGTTTAATACTAACCTGGATTCTATTTTCACTACACAATGGTCAGAAAAGTATGGTCAACACCCTTACAACAACTCAGTATTTTTTAAAGGTCCATTATTAGCAATAAACCGATATAATGTTGCAGCAACTTCCCCGCCTAGTCTATTTAACCTGAACATTTACAAAACTTGTATAAAAACTATGCTCATCGATCAGCAAAATGAAAACATCGAAGACGATTGGCCTAATTTCATGTTATATTGTATAACAGGACTAAGAAAATCAAAGCGTAACATAAACCAAAATGCCGATAATAACCTTGTCTCTACATCTTAGATTATATGCACACACTTATGCATCACTCAATAAACGTCGCATATCTCATCAATTACACTGCCAACATAGGACATTCTTTTTTATCGCCGCGATTTCAAATCAAGTTACAAATTCTACAAATTTGAAGTGCTCAGTCTTGTTTTACTTTTCTTATCTTTACCTATTAACCATTGGAAAATAAAACTTTAAGCTATAAACCTTCATTGCATACTTTACCGGTAGAGTCTAAATTGAATAGTTTGAGATTTCCTTTACATTTTATATTTATGCATGTGCCCCACGGGGATGAATTTCTTATTACCATTGATATTATATATACTTTTTTGAGTAAACATTGGCTGGTACCACGGGCCAGTCCCCAACAAAAAAAAAAATTATGCCAAACCATACATTTTTGTAAATTCATTAAACTTTCAATTTAGCCTAAAACACCCTATTTCGCACCCTAGCCCCTGCCAATGGGGTCCGCCCCTTACCTGGACCCCGCTGGGGGCCGCGCCCCCAGACCCCTGCCACAGCTTGCAGCTTCGCTCGCCGACAGCCCCCCCCCCTCAAAGAAAAATCCTGGCTACGTGCCTGAGCAAAATATAGGTTTAGGGCTTTTCAGATGATTTGGCTCCTCAACAGATACCGATGTACATAACGGTCAATATAATATGTAGTTTAGGTTTAACTGGCCCGTCAGGTTACGAATGTGCCCGAGGAGGAAAAAAAAAGCAAACTTAAGAAAATTTCTCGGGAACTTAAAAGTTCACCTCAAAACGAAATCTGCACCTATGGTAGTGTGTGCCTTTCTTCCTCTCCCGAAAATAAATCTTACAGCAGAATTTTGCACCTTCTGTAAACGACTTAAATCATAAGAGCTCAGTCCAAAATATATGCTATTGCAATAATCAATTCTAGGGAGTACTAGAGCATGAACAAGCTGAATCTTAAGGTTAAAAGACAGTTTTGATGCAATAAACCACAAATTTCTGATCTGAATATTACATGCTTGAACCACTGACGTAATCTGATCACTCATTGAAAGATAACTGTCCAAATACAGCCCAAGACTCTTCACAGTTCCACTAACAACATGTGGCTCTTGATCCTTAACAATCTGTAGAGAGGCTGGAATATTTTTTGAGTCAAATTTAGAGGATATAACGATGACTTCAGTCTTAGAAGAATTTAGTTGAAGGAAATTGTTTGTCATCCATTTCTTGATATCAGACATACAGTGTTCCATATTGTGCTCTAGCTGTGATGGGTCATCAGAATCAAGAGTGAAATACAGCTGGGTGTCATCAGCATACAAATGAATACAGCACCCATGCATACTTGCAATGTTCTCAAGATCTTTGGTGTACAATATGAATAGCAGGGGGCCAAGAATTGAACCTTGTGGCACACCTATCTCAAGAACAGTTGATGAGGAAGACGAATCCTCGACTTTGACACAAAATGAACGGTTAGCCAAGTAGGACCTGATCCATGTAAGAGCAAGGCCTGTAATGCCATAAGCAGATCTTAGCTTCTTGATTAATCTTGGGTGATTGACAGTATCAAAGGCAGCACTCAAATCTAGAAGTAAAAGAACAACTTTAGTTTTCTTGTCAATAGTTATCAAGATGTCGTTATGGATTCTGGTTGTTGCAGTTTCACAGCTATGAAACTTCCTATAGCCAGACTGAACTTTAGAAAGCAAGTTGTTATCCTCAAGATAACTGGTGAGCTGTATAGATACACACTTCTCAATGATTTTTGACAAGAATGAGAGATTGCTAATAGGCCTATAGTTAGATAGAGATTCACCGTCAAGGCCACGTTTCTTCAAACTTGGACGAATGAGAGCCTCCTTAAGTATATCTCGACACGTCGGGGTTTGTCGGGATTTGTCAGGGTTTGTCGGGGTTTGTCGAGCCTGGAGGCTACATGAGGCCTCCAAAAGCTGTGTCTCCAATGTCCCCAATGTCTCCAATGTCCCCAATGTCTCCAATGTCTCCAAAAGCTGTGTCTCCAATGTCTCCAGGACACGTCTCCGCACCCTATATTTTCAAAAAAGACAAGAGACATTGGAGACATTGGAGATGTGTCATGCCCCCCTTTATGAAGGAGCACATGTATGCGGATGGTAATGCATGTTTTGCTTTGTGACACCACGAAAAAACTACCTACCTACCATACCCATTCTCAATTCCTACCACTTCTAACCATCTTATGTTTTTTTAAAGAAAAAAGAAGTTGATGGAAAAAATTTCCCGGTCAGCTAGCGTATCGAGCTTAACCACTTTTGAAAGGTAAGCTCAGCCAACGAAATGCTTTCAAAAAAGAAAGGGGGGCTTTCACTCAGCACCACTGGCGGCGCATGAAATAAAAATAGCCTAGACGAAATGTTATATAAAATGCTGAGTGAGGGCACCCCCTTGAGCACTACATGGGCCGTTATCTGACTCTGTTATACTCCATGGATCAGTAAACAAATATTTTGATGTTGTTATTTGAACTGTATTGCAAGATGTGTGATCATGTGAAGCTATGATTAACATCTTATCCTTTCCCAGATGGCAAAGAAAGTACATCTGATGTCTCCCATTTGGTACTTCTAATATTTAATCTTGGCTTAATATTTGATTCAAAGTGATGAGATGTGGAGTTAATAGTTTTGTTGCATAAAATGGCATCAAAGATAGCCCTTCAGAGATCATATCAACTTATCCTTCAAAACACAAAAGTAAGGACTAAAAATCTTGTCCCAGAGTTGAGTCTTTATCTTCTGGATAAATCGTGTCCTTGGTATTACCAAAAAGAAGTACCAGAACTGGAACATGACCCATTTTGGTCTGTATTTTGGCCTGGAGGTCAAGTCCTTTCAAGGTTTATATTTGATAATGAAAATGTGGTTAAGAATAGAGATGTTATGGATATAGGCTGTGGCTGTGGTGCACTTGGTATTGCTGCGAAAATAGCAGGGGCAAAATCAGTAATGTGTAATGACATAGATGAGTTAGCAATGGCTGCAGTTCAATTGAATTTCAAATTGAATGAACTGGAACCTCCAATACTTTCAGCAGAGGATTTATTGCAAAGCTCGTCCATAATCCAACCAGAAAACACCACAATCTTTTTGGGTGACATGTTTTATGACGAGGTGATGGCAGGTAAAATTCTAGCCTGGTGTTTGAGGAACAACCAGATTGAAAATGATGTGTATATTGGTGATCCAGGTAGATGGGGTCTAGACTTTATAAAAGATCACATTACGAAAGTTGCAGAGTACGATATAAGTGATGAAGATTGTGATGAATTCAGGACTGCGTCAGTTTTCCAATTTATTTCAAATTAATTGATCATGTTTTATTGATTAAATTGATGAGTTTTGATATTTATTTTATTCTTGGTGTGAATTTAATTTTCTCTCTCTTTCTATCTTCATTTTGAATTACCCTATCATTTTCCTAAATCGGATTATTCTTGATATTAAATCTATTATATTATACTGTATGACTGCTCAAAGTTTATTCATCATCTACTTTTGTAGCACTCTTATCTAGACTCATCATAGCAGATGTTTTGAAATTATGGTCTTCAAATCCTACAAAAGAAAACTGCTGCCTTGGATATATTTCAACTTCATCAAACATGCCAACGCTAAAGCACCAGTCGTGGACACTTCTCACATCATAAAAACTGTCTACAATCAATTAAACAATTTTGTACATTGCCCTGAATCCAACCTGGATAACATACACAAGACTCATGGCTTTACAGTAGGTATAAAGGATAGTGCTCTGCACAATAGAGGTGTGTTTGTCACCTGCGGAGCTGTATCTCCTGGATCCATTATTGGTTATTATCCTGGAACTATATACCGTCCTGGTGATTCCATTTTCATCCAATCCATATCAAACTCGTATATATTCCAATGTTCTGATGGAACGTATATTGATGGGAAACATGATGGGATTTCAGGATTGTTTTATAAATCTTGCTCTCAGCGAAATCGTTTGGGTCCCCACATGACATGTGATGAATCGTGGTTAGCCCTTAAAAACCCTGTAAACCCCCTGGCCTGTGGTCAGATAGTAAATAACGGTGGCAACAAAACTTCAAATGTCAGTTACTGTGAAATAGACATAGATCTGAGGAAAGTTCCTTTAAAGCAGAGAAGATTTATCCCAAACGTTTTATACTCAGAACCATCTGCTTACTTGAGAATGGTAGTTTTAGTTGCTACAAAGGAAATTGTAGAGGAGGAAGAGATATTGTCATCTTACCTCTCCATTTTCTAATGTTTTTAAGAATCAATTTGTATTCGTATAATTGTTGGTTATAGATTTTTTCTTACTAATATTTGAAAAAGCTGTATATTATTTTGTGATAGTATTTTCAAGTGTTTTTGTTTTGGCTCCCTGCGAAAGTTTTATCTCAATTCAACAATGAAATTACTACCTACATCACAAACTCACCTCCATTAGACTATGTTGACTCAGAAGCTTCTAACAAGGATTGCTCCTCTCCACGGGTTGAGATGTCTGAACACCACAGCGCCTGCTCCTGCTGCGGCCACTGAACTGGTGAGATACTGAGTTAATTTATCATTACGTTATCACTTTAAACTTTTATGCCAATTATTAACCCCCCCCCCCCTTGTCCTCCCTCCTCCGTAATTAGTTTTACACGTAGTTATTTTGTAAACATTACACTTGCGTAATCATTTAGAAACCCCCTCCCTCCCCGTCAGTGATGACATAATACGTGAACGACCCCTTGTATGTAGAGTTGTTGTCAGTTTCACTGGTTGATATTGTTGAATCTTTATTCTTTGTTGACAGATTTAGATTAGTCAAATATGATCAAATTTGTCTTATTATTACTATTATTCCTTACATGATTCATCGTTTAAAAAAAAAGGAGAATTTTGTAAAAAAAGATCAGTAGGGCAATGTTTAAAATTCATTTGAAAACATAGACCTAGACCTTCAATTTTAGTTCTTTCCCATAAATACCAGGAATACAATTTCTCGTGAGCAGAAACAAATACCAGCTCAGTTAACCATGCACAGTGCGCAATCAATTACCTCGAATATGAAATATCACATACTGTTTCTTTATCATGGGTTACAGTGCGGGGGGGGGGGGGGGGGGGGATCATACACTTAGTACCGTACGTGACGTTGGGGGGAGGTGGGTCATATTTTCTTCCAAAAACACAGTTGTCAGTTAGTACATGGTACATTACCCAGAAAAACAGTTAGTACATGGTACAAAGGGGGGTCTCCAACCCCAAAAAAACCCATTTTACCTCAAATTTCAATTTTGGGAATAGGTTTTGAGGTTTTTTTCCATTTTCCCCCAATTTTTCCCCCATTTCCCAATGTTTAATGAGCTGTTTAAAGCAATTTATGGCTTTATGGGTGGGTATCTTATTTCATATACCAAGACACAGTTAGTACTGTGATTTCTCAACAGCTAGTACCACAAAAGCCGGCAAAAGTCGCGAAGGGGGAGGGTGGGTCTTTTGACAAAATTCCAAAATTACACTTAGTCGACGTCACGTACAGAACTTAGTACCTGATCCACCCCCCCCCCGTACAGTGTTGTAGATAAGATCAAGTAGATTACATTACTAACACGCAGGCCCTTAACATATCACCTGGACCAGTCTGTGACGTGTCGGGGAAGATTATTGAATTATTGTGCAGTGCATGAACTGTATGTTTTATTGATAACGGCTTGTTTTTGACTTTAGATAATGCTCTTATCAGCTATGAAATACGTAGAAATTGAAAATATTCCATGGTTAGTATCAAAACTGCAACTAGCGATTTTGGTCCCAACTGATAGTAATACTTTACAGGAATTGTGTCTAGTCTTTAAACTTGTATTTTCAGTACAAGACGAAGAACCTGATTAATGGTGAGTTTGTTGAGTCCTCTGCTACAGAGTGGGTGGATCTCCACAATCCTGTAAGTAAACAACATGTACACACAATGTACATATTTAAATGTATAGTGAAATAAGTGTAAACACGGAAGTTTAAATTTCAGTTAAACCCTCAAGACTTTGTCACAGAAAATGTATAGTATAAGGCTTGAAGCGCTGATTTATTGTGGGTTTACCTTAGCATTACTATTCATCATTCTGCATAATGTCAACTTTCATGCAGCATTAACAATTTGTGTGATAATTTTACACCCTTAAGTTAATTTAATTAACTCAACACTAACAATAACTAAACAAAAAACCCCAAAATAATATATAACCCCCAAACAGGCAACTAACGAACTTGTTACTAGAGTTCCCAAATCTACCCCTGAGGAAATGCAGGCTGCTGTAGATTCCGGTTAGTCACAATGAGTCGCATTCTGTCTGGTATCCCCCTTATCACATTTGTTATTATAACGGGGTTCATTGCTGAGTGATAGTTAGTCACAATTAGTCAGATTTTCTCTAGTACCCTCATTATCAAATTGATTTCTGAGTGATAACGTTGCTTATCTTTTAACAGCAACACAATTTTATGGATTACATGACCGATAAGAAGTTTGTTAATTACATCTATAGAACGGTTTTAATATTATTACGTGGCACATTTAACGATTTAATTAATATTGTTGTTAAAATGCTCATATATTTTAGATTATAATCATCATGTTTACACTGGTAGTTGGTACTATTAACAACTCAAGTATTTGGATTAATGTCAAATCATCGCAACATGTCCATTAAATCACAAATATGTCTGAAACAACTTCCTAATCATTACTAAAGTACTTAACCATGAGTAAATTTTCAGCGAAGGCAGCATTCAAATCATGGTCTCAAGTATCCGTGTTGTCGCGTCAGGGAGTTATGTTCAAATTCCAACATCTCATCAAGGAGAACATGGCAGAACTTGCTAAGGTAAACATCCGTTTGTTTTACTTTCACTTCCTTAAATCAAAGTTCCCGTTTTCATTCGAATTAGTAACGACACGTCATTTATCAAGCAATGATGTGTAGCTTAGATTATGCAGCCATGTTTTGAACTGGCTAAAATCCGGTTTAATATATTACATATTATTATTTGACATATTCACTGTCAAAAAACATATTTACAATAAACTATGATAGAAATCGGTGTGACGGCTTGTTACTCTGCAGCTCGAGCCATTTTGGGAAACAGCTAAATCTTATCTTCACCTCTCCTTATGTCCTCAGAACATCACACTGGAGCAAGGTAAGACACTAGCAGACGCGGAAGGAGACGTTATAAGAGGACTGCAAATAGTAGAACATGCCTGCAGTGTGACGTCATTACAAATGGGGGAAACCATGCCGGGTGTCACTAAAGACATGGACACGTACTCTATCAGGTACTGTCAAGTGTTTCCTGTGTGTGCGTGGTGTGGTTTCTGGAATGTTCGTCTGATCCACTTCTATAGAACAGAGTGCAGTAAATTGAATTAAGATGTGGCAACGCTCTGTTTATACTGTGAAAGGGTCTTCGATTTTTCCAAAATTTGCAGAGACTGCCGCGCGCACGCTACTTCCTTCCAATACTTTGTAGATTTTACAACCTTAAAAAACGGATATTTTTCAGAGCTCCACTAGGAGTATGTGCCGGTATCACTCCCTTCAACTTCCCTGCTATGATCCCACTGTGGATGTTTCCTCTGGCTAACGTTGCTGGTAACACATACGTCCTGAAACCCTCTGAAAGAGACCCCGGCGCTGCTATGATGTTAGCAGAGCTGGCTATTGAGGCTGGACTCCCTAAAGGTATGTGAGGAGCAACAGTAGGATTGAAATCAAACTGAAACAAGAAACCCTCTTTAGAACGAAAATGGGGCTATATTCTACTTCCGTTTGTCTTCATTCGGAGAAAGTTTTTGTAGCTATTATTTTGTTCGCACAAGCCTGAAAAATATTACCATTGTGCTTCCACCGTGTTTCCATGGTAACTATTACCATTAACAGGTGTACTGAACGTGATACACGGAACACACGACTCCGTCAACTTTATCTGTGATAACCCCGACATTAAAGCCATCTCCTTTGTTGGATCTAACCAAGCTGTAAGTTATACTTTTAGGGGGGGTTTACTAACAAACTAGGACCAGTGACCGAACTTTTGAGGGGTCCCGGACCCCAACCGCCAAACGGTGCCTGCGGGGCAGCCACGCCCATATTTGGTCCAAATTAGGCCGAATTTAGCCAAATACCCTGAACATGCCCAAAACCCAGATTTTAGGTGCTCTACTTGTAGCTAGTGGTCTTCTGAACTCGTATATGAAATTTCATCAAGATTGGACAAAAAATGACTGAGTTATGAGCAAAAAACCATATGCCCATATTTGGTCATACGCACCAAATTTGGTAGATTTCGTCCCATAAATTGAGCAAATATCAATATTCTCTGTAAGTTATAGCTTTATATCTGTTTAAATGTGGATACTAAGGCGAAAAAAACATAAAAAAATGAACTAAATTGCCCATATCTCGGTTCGCGATAACTCAATCAGTTTTCAAAATTTTTGCATGAAATTTTCGGAATCGACTCGAAATCGCATTTGGCTCAATTGGGCCTAATTTGGACCAAATATGGGCGTGGCTGCCCCGCGGGCACCGTTTGGCTGTTGGGGTCCGGGACCCCCTCAAAAGTTTGGTCACTGGTCCTAGTTTGTTGGTCAACTGCTATCTCTAAATCAAGTTTCACAAAAAAATACCCATTGGCTGACTTTTATCTGTTGCATATGGCAATATTTGAGCTGTAAATTCCTCGATCTGTAGTCCAATTTAAGACGGTACTGAAAAAATGGGTCCTAATCTCCATCAACTGTCTCCTGTATAGCACTGTGTAGCTATTGGATACTAACATAACCATGCCTGATACGGAGATTCGTTACTATATCACTCTATTTCAGGGACAACACATCTACGAGAGGGGAAGTAAGAATGGAAAGAGAGTACAAGCCAACATGGCTGCTAAGAACCACGGAGTTATCATGCCTGATGCTAACAAGGAGAATACTCTTAATCAACTTGTAGGGGCTGCGTTCGGGGCCGCTGGGCAGAGGTCTGTACTGTTATCTGTTGTAGAATTCATGTTTTTAGCAGAAAGAAATCTTTGAGATTATCCTGCTCGTCAAACTGAGTTTCTACATTTTATTAGATAGCTATTATTTAACATAAACAATAATATATTATATGTTATTAATATAGCATCACACCAGGTGTATGGCACTTAGTGTAGCAGTGATGGTGGGAGAAGCTAGGAACTGGATCCCTGAGCTGGTGGAACGAGCCAGGAAACTGAATGTGACAGCTGGTGACCAGCCTGGAGCTGACTTGGGTCCTGTTATCTCTCCTCAGTCTAAAGCTAGGATTGAGAGGTACGTAATCTAATGTTACTATTTAAACATTGTAATGAGTTTAACTGTGATTAGATGGGCAATCAATTCCGACATGCGGTGTTTGGAGAAAGAAAACATCCGCGGTAAATTGGGGTTTGCGGTGAATCGGGACACGGTAAAATTTTAGCTTCTCCTGTTATGATTTGGTAATAGGTTTCGCTTTAGATTTTATACAGTTACAAAACTTTTTTCATGATGATACTTTCAATTTGAATTTGAGAATTTTGCCACATTTTATGCAACCACCCACTAGGTTAATTCAGAGTGGTGTTGATGAAGGAGCAACCCTGCCCCTGGACGGTAGAAACATCTCAGTTCCCGGCTACGAGAATGGCAACTTTGTGGGTCCCACCATTATCAGCAATGTTACTACTGACATGGAGTGCTATCGGGAGGTTTACTACAGTTATTTTATAGATTTAGTTATCTGTACTAAGCTAATAAATCAAAATAAAATCATAAACTTTCCTATTGAAGAAACATCTGTAGTGGAAAAAAGTATTTATAATATGTTTTTTTGGAATGATCATAATTGTTCTCATCTTGTTTGTGTTAACCAGTTAAAAAATAATCACAGGAAATATTTGGACCTGTACTGAACATTCTGGAAGCTGATACAATGGACGATGCTATTGAGATCCTTAACAACAATCCCTATGGTAACGGCTGTGCGGTGTTTACTAACAGTGGGGCTGCAGCAAGAAAGTTCACCAATGAGGTATGATCAGATGGTTAATTAATAAATTAGTAATTATTTGATTAATTATCTTAGTTAGATTATTAATAATAATATGGTTAATTCAAATACTCAATACATTTACTGATTAACGTCTGATGCAAATATCATTCACAAGTTTTACGGGTAATTTCATACTTATGAATAATCACTCACTAGATATATAATTACTTACTTTCATTTTACTAACTAATTAATAATTGTGCAGGTAGATGTAGGTCAGATCGGAGTGAATGTCCCTATTCCCGTCCCACTGCCCATGTTCAGTTTCACGGGGTCTCGTGGTTCCTTCCTGGGTGACTCAAACTTCTACGGCAAGGCCGGACTCAACTTCTACTCTCAGTGGAAAACAAGTGAGTTTGTCACGCGTTACAAGACTATTGTCACGCGTTACAAGACTATTGTCACGCGTTACAAGACTATTGTCACGTGTTACACGACTATTGTCACGTGTTACACGACTATTGTCACGCGTTACACGACTATTGTCACGCGTTACACGACTATTGTCACGCGTTACAAGACTATTGTCAACTGTTACACGACTATTGTCACGCGTTACACGACTATTGTCACGCGCTACACAAGACTATTGTCACGAGTTACACGACTATTGTCACGCGTTACACGACTATTGTCACGTGTTACACGACTATTGTCACGCGTTACACGACTATTGTCACGTGTTACACGACTATTGTCACGAGTTACACGACTATTGTCACGAGTTACACGACTATTGTCACGTGTTACACGACTATTGTCACGCGTTACAAGACTATTGTCACGTGTTACACGACTATTGTCACGCGTTACACGACTATTGTCACGTGTTACACGACTATTGTCACGCGTTACAAGACTATTGTCACGTGTTACACGACTATTGTCACGCGTTACACGACTATTGTCACGCGCTACACAAGACTATTGTCACGAGTTACACGACTATTGTCACGCGTTACACGACTATTGTCACGTGTTACACGACTATTGTCACGCGTTACACGACTATTGTCACGTGTAACACGACTATTGTCACGTGTTACACAACTATTGTCACGAGTTACACGACTATTGTCACGTGTTACACGACTATTGTCACGCGTTACACGACTATTGTCACGCGTTACAAGACTATTGTCACGTGTTACACGACTATTGTCACGCGCTACACGACTAGTGTCACGCGTTACAAGACTATTGTCACGCGTTACAAGACTATTGTCACGCGTTACACGACTATTGTCATGTGTTACACGACTATTGTCACGCGTTACAAGACTATTGTCACGTGTTACACGATTATTGTCACGAGTTACACGACTATTGTCACGTGTTACACGACTATTGTCACGCGTTACACGACTATTGTCACGCGTTACACGACTATTGTCACGTGTTACACGACTATTGTCACGCGTTACACGACTATTGTCACGTGTTACACGACTATTGTCACGTGTTACACGACTATTGTCACGCGTTACACGACTATTGTCACGTGTTACACGACTATTGTCACGCGTTACACGACTATTGTCACGTGTTACACGACTATTGTCACGTGTTACACGACTATTGTCACGCGTTACACGACTATTGTCACGCGTTACACGACTATTGTCACGTGTTACACGACTATTGTCACGAGTTACACGACTATTGTCACGAGTTACACGACTATTGTCACGCGTTACACGACTATTGTCACGCGTTACACGACTATTGTCACGTGTTACACGACTATTGTCACGCGTTACACGACTATTGTCACGTGTTACACGACTATTGTCACGCGTTACTCGACTATTGTCACGAGTTACACGACTATTGTCACGTGTTACACGACTATTGTCACGCGTTACACGACTATTGTCACGCGTTACAAGACTATTGTCACGTGTTACACGACTATTGTCACGCGCTACACGACTATTGTCACGCGTTACAAGACTATTGTCACGCGTTACACGACTATTGTCACGCGTTACAAGACTATTGTCACGCGTTACAAGACTATTGTCACGCGTTACACGACTATTGTCACGTGTTACACGACTATTGTCACGCGTTACACGACTATTGTCACGTGTTACACGACTATTGTCACGAGTTACACGACTATTGTCACGTGTTACACGACTATTGTCACGCGTTACACGACTATTGTCACGTGTTACACGACTATTGTCACGCGTTACACGACTATTGTCACGTGTTACACGACTATTGTCACGCGTTACACGACTATTGTCACGCGTTACACGACTATTGTCACGTGTTACACGACTATTGTCACGCGTTACACGACTATTGTCACGTGTTACACGACTATTGTCACGCGTTACACGACTATTGTCACGTGTTACACGACTATTGTCACGTGTTACACGACTATTGTCACGAGTTACACGACTATTGTCACGTGTTACACGACTATTGTCACGCGTTACACGACTATTGTCACGCTGTTACACGACTATTGTCACGCGATACACGACTATTGTCACGCGTTACACGACTATTGTCACGCGTTACAAGACTATTGTCAGCGTTACACGACTATTGTCACGCGTTACACGACTATTGTCACGCGTTTACAAGACTATTGTCACGTGTTACGCGATTATTGTCACGCGTTACACGACTATTGTCACGGTGTTACACGGACTATTGTCACGCGTTACAAGACTATTGTACGTGTTACACGACTATTGTCACGTGTTACACGACTATTGTCACGCTGTTACAAGACTATTGTCACGTGTTACACGATTATTGTCACGAGTTACACGACTATTGTCACGTGTTACACGACTATTGTCACGCGTTACAAGACTATTGTCACGTGTTACACGACTATTGTCACGAGTTACACGACTATTGTCACGTGTTACACGACTATTGTCACGCGTTACACGACTATTGTCATGCGTTACACGACTATTGTCACGTGTTACACGACTATTGTCACGCGTTACAAGACTATTGTCACGTGTTACACGACTATTGTCACGAGTTACACGACTATTGTCACGTGTTACACGACTATTGTCACGCGTTACACGACTATTGTCACGCGTTACAAGACTATTGTCACGTGTTACACGACTATTGTCACGCGTTACACGACTATTGGATACTTTTCTCTTACGACTGAAGGGAAAACCTGTTAAACTTCCAAATTAAGCTGCTAGTGAAAACATTGCTGTAATTTTGTTATCGTCCAAATATCACTGAAGGAGAGGGAGGAGGTTTCTACATGATTACGCTAGCTTTGTATATATATAGCTTTGTATAAAACTGATTACGGAGGGGGAGGAAGGGGGATTAAAAATTGGGAAAATTGGTCTACAAATAATTGCGTAATATCTTAATATGTGAACAGCCCCTTAGTGATTCGCCGCAGTTTGTAACGAGGAATAATATTTCAGTTACCACATTGTGGAAGGAAGAAGACGCTAAGACCGCCACAGCAGAGGTCGCCATGCCTCGCATGCAGTAAAGTCAATGACTTTGATGACGTCACGTGACTCCGATGACGTCACGTGACTTTGATGACGTCACGCGAGATGGTGCCGCTTTCGCCAAAACTCTATCGTACCCTCAACCCGCACTAAACTATACTTTATATATGGATTGATGTTATGATTTTTATGTGGTGTTCAACCTTTTCTCATTTTCTGTTGTTTCCAAAGGTGAAATAGTTAATGCTGCCCAAGATTTTTTCGGTTCCGGCCATCCATTGACTTTAATTTATTACCTACTTTGTAAAATTGCTTCGTTTGTTAGATTTTCAAGTATTGCTTTTTAAATGTTTCTATCTTTTGTCAATGTAAATAAGTTTCAGAGTAGATTATATAATCATTGAAATTAGACAATAATTATTCGTATCTTTATTTTTACACTCTAGAACTAGTACGACAAAAACATTTGCAGCCAGTTAAATTTCTAGAAAAGTGTCAATGTTCAGTTTAAAATATGCTGTAGAACCCAAGAAAAGGCAGATATATCACCACTGAGACCAGGGCACCGTCAAGTACCCCAAGTCCAACACAGATTTCTGGTCCACAACTAGCCATTAAAATATAACCCCTGATCTTCCCATACCGTCCTGCTGAATCTAGAAAACAGACAGACAGACCGCACCCAGAAAACCATCAAACTCTGTTGAGTCTCATCGCACGTTACAGTGTTAGGACTCTGCAAATACCGCTAATTGAATACGGAAGTGTACTTCACGGCGCGGTGGAGGTACGCTACACCAGTACACTTTGTAACATTTTCTCTTGTCCCTCTTTGTAACCTGTATACACAGTTTCCCAACACAGTTGCACTACGTGTTTTGAAAACGAGTTTCCATGCTTTATTGGGGGCGAGGAGTCGTCAACATTAGAACAATATTAATCTCATCTGCATAATTCATAATCTTATTTGTAATGTTGTGCCTCCGCGTGTAAATCCTAACTCCTTCATCAAATATTACACTAATTTCATATCTGCGGCTGTCGTTAAGCTGTGTTACACTTTCATTAGATTACGTTGGGAGAAGCTGTTAGATTACGGGGGAACCTGACCTAATATGGCATAATCACTCGCATTCTCCGACCATTTGGCTTTTAACCGACTCGCTGCTTTGCTCTTTTGATAGTTGTGGCGGTGTTTAAAGTTGTGGTAGTGGTAGTTGTGGGTGGGGTTGTTAAGCTTGTAACCATGGTAACGTAGGTTCAAGATAACGGTACTGGTAGTGAGAATTAGTTGCTCAACTTTTGGCTTATTTGGGTTTGATATTATAGTGGAAGTGGTTACAGACATTATAACAAGTCAGTTATAGTTTGTAATGGCGGGGTGTTATAATTGCAATGATCATGGAATTATTGATGAGTTGCTGTTATTGGAACTGGGAGTATTTATTGATCCGTTGGTTTCGTACCGTCACGTGGGTTTAAGTCACTTAGGCATCAGGTAACTATGGTAACTATTAACTAACCACACTACGTAGGTCAGGTAACTATGGTAACTATTAACTAACCACACTACGTAGGTCAGGTAACTATGGTTACTATTATCTAACCACACTACGTAGGTCAGGTAACTATGGTAACTATTAACTAACCACACTACGTAGGTCAGGTAACTATGGTAACTATTAACTAACCACACTACGTAGGTCAGGTAACTATGGTAACTATTAACTAACCACACTACGTAGGTCAGGTAACTATGGTAACTATTATCTAACGGCTAACCACACTACGTAGGTCAGGTAACTATGGTAACTATTATCTAACCAAACTACGTAGGTCAAGTAACTATGGTAACTATTATCTAACCAAACTGCGTAGGTCAGGTAACTATGGTTACTATTATCTAACCACAATACGTAGGTCAGGTAACTATAGTTACTATTATCTAACCACACTACGTAGGTCAGGTAACTATGGTAACTATTATCTAACCAAACTACGTAGGTCAGGTAACTATAGTTACTATTATCTAACCACAATACGTAGGTCAGGTAACTATAGTTACTATTATCTAACCACACTACGTAGGTCAGGTAACTATGGTTACTATTATCTACCTCAAATGATCATTGTTATGAACACAATAAGTGGGTTATGTTCATATCTTTAACACTGAGGTTGGAGCTGTGCTATAAATGGTATAATGTAACATTACATGTCACGTGAAAACCTTACTTTTAACGCATGGGCCATCAACATTCAACATTATCAGGCCTCTCTCCTTTATCAGCTGTATGTATTCATTATTCATCTTGCTGTTTTGTAAGTTTTTTGTATTATTTGTCGCAAAAATTAGAATAATCAGAAATTATCATCTGTCTATTGTTATGCGACTAATAAATAATGTTCCAGTCCGTAATCTAAGTTTTTTGCTGTGGAATTTTATCTTTCGAGCTTTGATTTCAGGATGTTATGAACGGTAGGCTACATCTTCAGGAATAAGCAAATCTTGGTTTTTTTCTTCATATCCATACAATTTACTACTTTTATAAACAAACCTTTAACTTTATCTACTAACCTTACCTAGAGTAGATTTGATAATCAGTTTAATACCTTATTCTGTTCTTTAGAACCGGTCTCTTAGTAACCGGTCTCTTAGTTACTGGTTTCTTAGTAACCGGTCTCTTAATAACCGGTCTCTTAGTAACCGGTCTCTTAGTAACCTTGCCTAGAGTAGATTTGATAATCAGTTTAATACCTTATTCTGTTCTTTAGAACCGGTCTCTTAATAACCGGTCTCTTAGTAACCGGTCTCTTAGTAACCGGTCTCTTAGTTACTGATATCTTAGTAACCGGTCTCTTAGTAACCGGTCTCTTAGTTACTGGTCTCTTAGTTACCGGTCTCTTAGTAACCGGTCTCTTAGTTACTGGTCTCTTAGTTGCTGGTCTCTTAGTAACCGGTCTCTTAGTAACCGGTCTCTTAGTAACCGGGTTCCTTAGTTTAGACCATGTGGTCACTGTATCACGTGGTATAAACTGAGGAGTTCACTGCACGTGTTATGTTCCTGAGAACATATTATCTCAATATGACTTTACACTCTACACTTGTACATCGTAATCTTTTCCATTCTCAAGTTTCTTGATAAAAACAGATGAGGTGTATTGAGCGCTGATTAAACTGAGGTAATATAATTTCAAGTCCAGTTCAAGTTACCAGGAATTAGGAGTCTCCCCCGAATGTTGGTACTGATTAGGTACAACAAGAAACAGAGTGCCATGTTGTCATGGTAACCCTATGAAGCTCCGCTATTCTCCTCTCCCCAGTACATATTCTCACAAGCATGACTCATATCACACATGCTTGCCTGAAGAGGAGGAGACTCATTAATAATCTCCAGCTCTCTCTCTCTCTCTCTCACATTTGCACACTCATTCAGCACGGCCGTCAGTGTAAATGACACGGACCCGCGTTGTTTTCATTATGATCGTTTATAATATAGGACCGTTTAGTATTACCGTACAGCACGACCGTTTGAGGATCGTTTGACAGGTAAAGTAGGAGCCGAGCTTGTTACACTACTAAAACTAGTCTTAGTGAGCAGATACACCTGTTCTAGCAGACTTCAGATTACCATTTATCCGCACCATCTCAGCTGATTAAGCCCAGTGGTGGTGCTTGTACCATGCTGTTACCATGGTACCCTCAGGGTACCATGGTGCTGTTACCATGGTACCCTCAGGGTACCATGGTGCTGTTACCATGGTGTTACCATGGTGCTGTTACCATGGTGCTGTTACCATGGTGTTGTTACCATGGTGCTGTTACCATGGTACCCTCAGGGTACCAGTCTATAATGCTCCGTCGTTAGGCCAGCTTTGTTTTTAATCAATCGTCTGGACTTTTAGAAGTTTCTCACAAATTTAATATCCGTGGGAGTATGTTATTTTTTAATCGTGTTTTGCCGTTTCTTCTATTTTCAAGAATCACAGTGATATTTGACATTCGATTGGATATTGAAATTAGTTTGTAACAATTCTCCGTCGAGAGGTCCGAGTTTGTACCGCGGAAGTAACGATCATATTAAAGCACCCCTCCCAGTCTGGTAGAGTCACCCCATTTTAGTGGTTTGTTTGTAACCGTGGTAACCGTGAGGATACAGGTTGCTCCTCCAGGAAGTGTAGCTTTGTAGACTATACCTGATTTTGTCAACAGCTGTCAGTTCTGTATTGTGAATTGTTATACGCTACTGCCATTATTGGTCACCGCAGTTAACCACAGTTAACCAAAACAATTTGTTTGTTTATGTTGGGGAATTGTTCCCGCTAACTATTAAGATGTGTGTACGTTAATAGTGAACGTTATATATTATTACTTTCTACACTTCTTTATCATGTTTATTGTAACAAATAATTCGAGGGACCGATGTCACACAGTCGATATATTTCAATGTTGCTATGGGCCGGTGGGATGGAAAGTACCCATGTTCATCGCAGTCCGGTAGTTCCACTGCAATATAACATATTATTGTTTCGTCAGCGTTAGCAGTCAGGCCTTGTTTGTGTTTTAGATTTAATTATGTACAGATTACCAGTAATAACTCTAATTTTCGGGTGACTTCCGTTCTGAACGATTCAATGGAGTGTTTCTTATTGGAGCTGATCCAACTTACTCTCGCTTTAGTTCCTTTTGTTTCGCATTGATATAGTAGAACCATACAATAGGTATATAACATTATATAGCTGTCTCAATACATCTTAGTTAACCTACACTTCCGTCATTTTAAATACAGGGTGGGCCAAAAGTCAGTACCCATACGTTGGCCTTTATAGCTCAGTCATTGAGTGCCCAATTTAAATACTTCTTTCTGGTATGACTTAGTACCACCACTGGTTCGAGGAATTTGTTAACTCGAAAAATATTCGTGTTCATTTTTTTCAAATAGAGGTTCATTTTCACATTTATTTGATAGTTTGGATAGTCGGATCGAGCTAAATTTTATTTAATTGTGTTTGGTCATTCGAATTACGTTTGTCCTGAAAGAATTAGAACTGTAGCTTCTCAGATGACCGAGATATGAAGCATAACGAGTTTATTCATTACGTGTGATCAGGTGATTGGTTTACCTAATCACGTGATAAGGTGACCCCGTTAACTACCCCGTTAAACATTATGGGAACTGGTTAAGGGTGCCCAATTAAGGTGTCGTGTCACGGTGTCAAATAATCACCCAGTCAATTTTGTTAACGAGATACAGAAATCGCTTGTTAACTTCGTCATTTCTAATCCGTTTTGCCTCATGTTTTCAGATCATATGCAACATTTGATAATCTACCGTCTCTGAAAAAATTAGGCGTTCAGCATGTTCAGAGAAAACAATAAAGGTGTTTTAATATTGAATGGGCGTGGTCTAAAATAT